CGCACTTTTTATTAACATTGGTTTTTAGGATACCTATATGTGAATAGATATGAAGGTCATGAGTGGACGGCAGTCTTTAGTCGGGAATATTCATAGTTGAATGTGAAGAAGTAATGTTGATAAAATAAATCGCGTGTTTGCTGAAATGAGTGTTTCCATGTAACTTTGAATACTACAAATTGGCGACGAGGATGGAATCCGGGAAAGTGTTGTGCTAACGTGGGGGATTATGAATTTGAGTTGAAATCAAAAAGTGTGATTCATTAAAGTACCGGAAAGAAAATGGCAGCGAGTTTCGTGGGACATTTAAGGGAATTCAACCCAAGTGTAAACGATTGGAGTATATTTAAACCACAGCTTACACAGTATTTCATTGCTAACGCAATTGCGACTGAAGAGGTCAAACGTGCTTTTTTGTTGAACTGTTGCAACGAAAGTAGTTACCAGCTACTGTGCAGTTTGTGCATCCCACTTAAACCAGAAAACAAATCCTATGATGAGTTAGTCAAACTTCTTGATAATCATTTTACCCCAGCAAAGTTAGTTTTCCCGGAAAGACACAAATTTTATAGTGCAGTTAAATCAAAGGACGAATCTGTCCAAGAATGGGCAGCCCGAGTTAGACAACTTGCTTCAAAATGTGAATTTGGTGCAGAACTTATTGTTTTGTTGAGAGATAAATTCAATATGGGGTTCGAAAGGGGACCCATAATGGACCGGCTGTTCGAAGAAAAGGAAGTGGGGCTTTCCTTTGACAAGGCAATTGAAATAGCTTGCAATAAGGAAGCTAGCAATAATAATATTCAGGAAATAAGGATCAAATCTGAACCTGAGGTGTATCGTATGGGTGAAAATTCGCAGTTAGGAGCACCAAGGAAGCAGAATTTCAATAATAGTGGTCGCTTTCCAAGGCATATTCCTGCCAACCAGCAACATCAACATCAGCCATCGTCAGTAAGTAGTCCCAGTTCTAACGCAGGCGCATCAGCGAATATGGCTGCTGGATCAAGATGTGCTGTTTGTGGTAAACATCACCCAGGACAGTGCAGGTATCGTACATATAATTGTAACGTTTGTGGAGCCAGAGGCCATCTTGCACCGGTGTGGAAACAAAGAAATAGCAGAAACAACTTTTTAGATGTTCAATCCATTGATAATCTTGATGAACTATTTCAAATGAATGTAGACGGTTATCAACCGATCAGTATTGATGTTTTTGTAAATGATATGAAAATGCTATTTGAATTAGATACCGGTGCCAGTCTGAATCTAATTTCGAAATAATCATACTATCAGCACTTTTCAAATATCTTAATAATTCCGATGGGTAAAATAGCTGTGAATTTGACCCACAAAAATCGTTCGGAAAACATGTTTTTGTATGTTATTGATAATGGGGGAACACCCCTATTAGGTAGAGATTTTTTTTATGAATTTTCTCTAAGCATAAACAAAGTCGATTGTCATGAGAATGTTCTGGAAAATTTTCGCGAAGAATTTCCATCGGTATTCAAAAATGAATTGGGATTATTCAATAAAGGCTATATCCACTTGCAACTTAAACAGAATGTACAACCAAAATTTTTCGAAGCAAGGCCTTTGCCTTTCGCTCTGAAGGAGAAAGTTGAAATAGAAATAGAAAGGCTTTTGAAATTAAATGTGTTGACGCCGGTGGGATATTCGGAATATGGCACTCCAATAGTACCCATATTGAAGAAAAACGGTTCTGTAAGATTATGCGGGGACTATGCCTTGACATTGGATCAAGATTTAGAAATTGATAAGTTTCCGCTTCCTCGCATAGAAGAGTTATCCGTGAAATAACAAGGTGGAAAGTATTTTACTAAACTAGATTTGTCGAATGCATATCAGCAAGTCATGTTAAGTGCAGAATCCCGTTTATTAACTACAATTTCTACACATAAAGGTTTATTTTGTTATAACAGACTACCATTTGGAATTCACACAGGTCCGTCTGAATTTCAACAAATCATGTCTCAAATGTTAGATGGTTTAAAAGGTGTCGCATGTTTTCAAGACGATGTTCTGATCACTGGTAAACATTGGGCTGAACATGTAGATAGGGTGAAAACTGTTTTAAATGAATTTGCTGAAAATGGTTCAACCGTAGAGATATCGAAGTGTGATTTTTTTAAAGGAAGTGTCACTTATGTCGGATTTGAAATCGATAAGGAGAGTCTACACACATGCCAAGAAAAAGTCGATGCTAAAACAAATGCTTCAATTCCGCAAAATATTACTCAAGTGAAGTCTTTTCTGGGTTTTGTAAACTATTACCATAAGTTTATACCTAATGCTTCCACACTTCTTCAGCCGCTTCATAATTCGTGTAAGAAAGATGTTGAATGGAATTTCGACTCGAAGTGTATCGAATCTTTCAATGAGGTAAAAAAAGTTTTGGCGTCCGCAGAAGTGCTCGTGCATTATAATCCAGAGTTACCCGTTCAATTAGCGGTAGATGCTTCACAATATGGGGTGGGTGCGGTTATTACTCATAGTGTCCAAGGGGTGAACAGGCCTATTGCCTATTCATCTCGCACGTTGAGTGAAAGCAAACAACAGTATTCGCAAATTGAGAAGGAGGCACTGGCAATAATTTCCGGTGTGCAGAAATTCTACCAGTATTTGTTTTATAGACGTTTCATCTTGTTAACTGACCATAAACCATTGGTTGCAATATTTGGGCAAAAAAAGGGCATCCCAACATATGCTGCAAATCGTTCGCAGAGGTGGTCTTTGATATTAGCAAATTTTCAGTATGATATTAGATATATTAAATCCAAGGAGAATTATGCGGATTGTTTGTCAAGATTACCTGTTCATAATAATTATGAAAGTAATGATGACCATACTTCTATTATAAATTTCATCAGTCAAAATGAAAATTCACCAATTGATAGCAATATCGTACGCGAGCATAGTTTAATAGATACGACCTTGAAGAAAGTTTTTCAATTTGTAAGAAACGGGTGGCCCAAAAAGGTTGAAGACGACTTGAAATTATATTTTCTTAATAGGCAGGCCTCCTCGATTATAAACGATTGTTTGATGTTTGGAAATAGGGTTGTGATTCCGACTAGTTTACAGGGTGAGCTACTCAAAGAATTACATAAATCACATATGGGTATGGTCAAAACAAAAAGTTTAGCGCGTTCGTATATCTGGTGGCCTAAAATGAATGTAGATATCGAAAATACAGTAAAAGCTTGTTCCTCATGTCTGCAGTATCGTCAAAGTCCTCCTAAGTCTGCTCTAATTAATTGGAAGTATCCAGTGAGTCCCTGGACCAGAATTCATGTAGATTATTTAGAGCCGTTTCATGGTAAGCATATTTTAGTAGTGATTGATGCTCATACCAAATGGCATGAAGCTTTCATCGTGAATAATACCAGTAGTTACATTTCAATGAAAATTTTGAGGGAATTATTCGCGAGATTTGGTTATCCTTTATGTTTAGTTTCCGATAATGCTACTAGTTTTTCTTCCGCTGAGTTTAATAGGTTTTTCAAATTGAATGGTGTTGAAATCATACATAGTCCACCGTATAATCCTTCCACAAACGGCGCAGCTGAAAATACCGTAAAAACTATTAAATTGGATTTATCAAAATCCGTTGAAGCATCTGTTGGTGGTGATCGTGATTTAGATTTAATATTGAATCGTTTTCTGATGGATTATAGTAATACTCCCCACTGTTCCACCAGCGTTTCACCGGCCGAATTGATGATAGGCCGAAAACTTAGATTCCGATTCGATTTTTCAAAGCCGAAAGATTCAAATAAAAATGAAAATGATATTCAGGGTCATATTGATACAGTGAAAACTAGTATGAGCAATCAAAGAAAATATTACAAGGGTACTAGAAACCGAATTTTCAATAAGAACGATATCGTACTCGTGAGAGATTATAGGGGGTCAAAAAGAAAGTGGATCAAAGGGATCATAAATTAAAAAATTGGTTCAAGAACTTATTCACTATTCATACCAGAAATTGACCGAACATGGCACCGGCATCTGAATCAAATCTTAGAATATGGTAGTATAGATTCAAATGAAAAAGTTGTTAGTGAAGTTTGCCAAAGTGAGGATAGTTATAAAGAAAATAATTCTGAAGGCACTGAAAATAGTGATGATTTAAATTTAGATGAACTCTTTGAATCACCCCGGTCAAATTTAAATGATGATCATCCTGAAAATGATTTTCAATCGAATTTACGTAAAGGAAATCGTCTCAGAGAACCAACATCACGCTTTCAAGTATAATTGGAAATTATTACCAGAATACAGGGGAGGTGTGATATATCTGTAAACATTATATTGAGTAAATTTATTTGCGCACCTTGTAGCGCACTTTTTATTAACATTGGTTTTTAGGATACCTATATGTGAATAGATATGAAGGTCGTGAGTGGACGGCAGTCTTTAGTCGGGAATATTCATAGTTGAATGTAAAGAAGTAATGTTGATAAAATAAATCGCGTGTTTGCTGAAATGAGTGTTTTCATGTTACTTTGAATACTACACAAACAAACAAACAAATCTTGCCTCTCAATGATATTAGTATAGATTCAGTTCGTCTCTCTGTCTGTGCTGTTTCCTTTAACGTTAGCGCCGTCATCACGTGTCTGTCAACAAGGAAATCACTACCGTCTTCTCACTCATCGCATCTAGGGATAATCATTGGGGGATCTACCGAATTACTAATTAAATTCCTGTGATATTTTTTATACTTATGCCTCCATTTTTATCATCAGACTGGAACCAGATTGTTAAGTTCTTCCAGAGAGCTCTGAGAGGGGACCAGACCACATAGACTCCACCCTCAATCACGCCATTGATCCAGAGAGACCGTAAAGTGTCTTGCAGTGAGTACTCGTGTGACATAATGAAGTTTCCGGAGAGGAAGCTCCTTTCATTGCAGGGCAGGGGGTTACAAAATACCATAAAACACTCTGTTGAAGTTGGCCAAACGAAAAAATTGGGAATGTATAGTAGATTTTTTTATTAGGATTAAAAAGTGACACAAGCGAATTTTGCATTTGCGAGGTGGAGCATCTAGCGAAGCCAAGCAAGAGCAAAAATAATAGATTCATCAAATAGTTTTTTGTGTGTATCTGAAAAGCATTCTACATCGAGAAAACATTAGGCTGATCAGTGAAGAACTGATCTGTAGGAAAGTCATCAAAAAGAAACTCCCCATTCCTTGACAACTTCTAAATTATGTGGTACATTACGAACGTATAAGCCGCTTTGACCATCTGGAAAAGAAGCATATATTATTAACAAAGTGAGCCCTACAATCCAGATTCTATACTGACGGTAACTATCAAATCATTGTCGATCACTGCAAAATTGCCGATAGTGAGTACGAGTGGTCTTTGCACTCTGGCCATCACAATCAACAGACTCCTCTTCACTTCAGAACTTTGGTCGTACCAGTTACTGTTGAATATTCTCTGGCTCAAATCTATACTCTGAAAATTCAAAAACGATTACAATATCCCAGTTGACAGGAGCTCCTGACATCAGACATGTAACATATCTCTAGACAGTGAAATATAACATCCCAACAAGAACATCATCCGAATTGACTATATTTCCAGAAGTAACGGCGGATTCATGCAACATTCATTATAATTACATTTTCACTACATTATAGTTACATTTTCACTTGCCGAGAAGTACCAGTTCAAGCAATTCATGACCCTAATCAACTGATTATTCGAGGTTATGTGATTTGCTTGGATTATTCAAATGATTACAGGTTATTTGAGGATTTGTCTTCATTTTGAATAAAATATCTGAGGAGAATTAGAAATAGTATTCGTGAGGAAAATGGTCATTCAATGGATCTGATCTTGCAAACAAGTTATTTTCACTGAAACAATAATGTGATTATGATGTATAGTTGAGAGCTGGTCAATTTCATAGTGCACTAATGTCTTGAAAATGTAATGAAAACGTATTCTAGGAAATATGAGTTTTTAACTTTCTCAATTCATACTGTAATTAGAACGTAAATATAATGACTGTTGCATGAATCGAGCTCTTCACATTTCGAATTCCGGGATTGACTACAGAGGTGTTGATTGTCAGATGGGAATAAAATCGGCCCAAATAATAAAATCATTGTATTTCTTCGAAGTGAAAAACTGTTGAATTGTTGATTATTATTGTAAATGAGAGCCAGAAAAACTTCTCGGGTCTCTCCTTCCGCAATTCGAATATCATTGAAATTTTTTTGTTCTGAAATAGTTGTTATCTATCGATCGGTCCCGCTTACGAGTAACACTCGGAAATTCTCGAGAGACTGACATCGACTAAATACATTGCATTCGACGGATGACACTCAATGTAATGTGATAAAGCATTTTCTCGCCGACCTCTACATAAAATCACATTTCACCTTTTAATTTCTGAAAGAAAAACGGAATATTACTGAAGGCGAGTAATTTTTGTCTGCTGCAGGGTTGCCGGTTCTACTAAATTCTCAGTAGATCTCCAGATTTGCGTATTGATCTACTGAAACATTTTCAATCATCCCATAACCTACCGAAAAATATTTTGACACCAGACAATTATTAAAATCGAGGCACCTGATATTCAAGAATAGCGAGAAGATAATGAATTGGTATACATCCACCTATTCTGTTTCAGAAATGAATAATATTTTATCGGAATTGGTCAGAAGTTTCTGTATATCCAGTAAGATTTACCAGAAAATTCTTCTGGAATTGCGCGTGAGTATCATCCAATATGGATCGAAGAAGATGTTGGAAACGAAGATTTTTTGGGTTGTATCATTGAAAATATTATCTCGTCAGTATCTCGTATCTTGTCTCGAGTAACTGGGAGTCTGTCTGGAATATTGATATCGTATTTCTCGTTTTGGAAGTGTGAAGCAATAAATATGGCTGTGGATTGAACGGCACGTGGCCAAGAGCGGTCTGATTTTGGAAGCGGCCGAGAAAATTTCCTGATGATACAAGGAATAATCAGAAGTATCAGAATACGAAGAACTATTTGTAAGGCCTAGCTTTGCGTGGTGAATGTACCGATCGAAAAGAAAAGAGATTTGTTGCAGTCGTTCTGAACTATGCACAAATTTTCTTGTTGTTTCTCGTTCGATTTTTGGCTCACCTATAAAGCTACTATTATATACTCACTCACACCTATTTTCATTATCTCACTATCTATCGAATTCTTTTTACGTATTGATTATTTCAACCAAATGAATCAAGAGCCGTTCAGTAGTTGACGTAACGACAGCAGCACTATGATGTCATCCAATTGTATATTTTAATCATCCAGGAAACCATTGAGACACCCATATGGAATTTCAATCCAATTGGTATTGCCGTTTTGAAGTGGAAAAGATGAGTATGAAAAAGACTTGAAAAGGAATATTCTCAGATGAATTATGGACATACAAAAATGGATATATATTTATATAAAGCAATTCATTGATAATTCGCATTCTCTATGTGATGAGAATATCTACTCTTTTTCAGTTCATTCAATAGAAAACAACTACTTTCCTGGCTATATGCCACGACGAACATTATTGAATCATATCTATTGAACACATACGATAGGAGTTTGAGATTAAATATACAAACTTCTGAAATTGGGAATGTGCATTCTCTTTCAGACAAAAATATGTATCTGTATGAATATTCAACAGAAAACAACTACTTTCCTGGCTATTTGCCACGTCGAACATTGAATTATATTTGATGAACATTCAAAAGGAGAACATGAAAAAAATTAGATGAAATCCTCCGAAATTGAGAATTGACATTCTTCTTCAAATCGGATGAATAATATGATGTATAATGATATAGAAATATAACTTACCAATATATTCAGCATTGATATGAATGATTATTTTTGGAAGTTCTCAAGCTCATCAAGATCAGAGTTTTTGCCAGTATACTTCTCCTATACATTCAAATTTTCATTTCAATGCTCAATATATTGGTAAGTTATATTTCTATATCATTATAAATCATATCATTCATCCGATTTGAAGAAGAATGTCAATTCTCAATTTTGGAGGATTTCATTTTATATTTTTCTTGTTCTCCTTTTGAATGTTCATCAGATATAATTCAATGTTCGACGTGGCAAATAGCCAGGAAAGCAGTTGTTTTCTGTTGAATATTCTTATTGTATGTGTTCAATAGATATGATTCAATGTTCGTCGTGGCATATAGCCAGGAAAGTAGTTGTTTCCTATTGAATGAACTGAAAAAGAGTAGATATTATCATCACATAGAGAATGCGAATTCTCAATGTATTGCTTAATCTAAATATATATCCATTTTTGTATGTTCATAATTCATCTGAGAATTTTTTTTTTCAACATTTTCATACCCAATCAGGGGGTTCAAAGTTGAACGATGGAAACTTGTGATTTTTATAAACCTCTAATTGCAGATTCGTGATACAGTCTCGATTGAGAATTTTTTCCACGCCCTTTTTGATGAATGTCAATTTATCATACACCCAAAAATGAAAGAGACTTTTACTCCTCTTAGTACTACTACCCGTTTTCCCGTAGGAATGAAGCATTTTCCCTTGGTGAAAAATATCCTATGTTCAACAGGAGCAATTTCGGCTTCTTATAATGAGAAACATGATCTGGAGGTGGTAGGTAACAATTCTTGTCATGTCACAGCTTTTTACCTTCGATTTTTCACCAACTTCCGATCTGAACGACTCACGATTCGTTCGGCACTCTACTATTTCGTGATGAAGATAAGTACGTAAGGATAATTTCTACTTCCCGTTGTTTTCTACCCGTTTCTTTGTGAAAATGACGTATTATCTCGCGGTGAAAAGTAACCTATGTTCATCAGAAATAATGTCGGCTTCTAAAAGTCAATAAATTCTCCGAATCGGTCTAGTGGTTTCGGATACTATTCGATACAAACGAACAAACTGACAAGCCTTTCTCCTTCAGGATATTATCAGTTCATCAGTATCGATATAGAAAAACAAAGAACACTTTACTGTTCTCACGCCGTGACCAGTAATGTTGGTGATAAGAATCTTTCAGAATCACAACTCATTTGGTTTCAACTGGTACACTGTCAGTAGAACTAAAGAAATGACGGATGCTCATAATCCACTCCATGCATGACCGGGCGTGAAGTGGCAATTTATCACTTGGTTCCGCGAGTGTGAAGTAGCACTTGAGCGTTCCAGGGTAGTTTAGGAGTACAGCGGGTGGTGAAGTAGTCCGGAGGGCAGTAATTTGTGGTAGACTACGATCTTCATTTTCCAGTGGCATATATGATGTGGCCAAATGAATTCGATATCATTCATGAATTCCGAATGGGCAGTAGATGAATGTCGCGCATGAAATGTTTTATGCATTCTGGGCGTAACTTGCTTTTAAGGACCTATATGCGTGTCAATAGCCCAAGCGACAGCGAGGGCTCTCACTCACGCTGCGTTCCATAAAATTATGTTCCACGCATTTGATACATAAATTACTATTGGAATAGGTACAATTTTATTACCAACCTGACGAAACCCAGCGCGTCAGAAGTGAAAGAGAGGGCCGAAGCAGTATATACAAATGGTGTTTTTTACTCTACTGACTTCGGATTTGTATTCCAGTTGTATTAGAATGTGCAATTATCTCTGATACCTAGCAGCTCTGTAGTCAACTTCGTTGAGAGTTGGCAATAATAAACTTCGATGAGCTGGGTCCTGATGCGGCCATGACTGCAGATCCGCCACTAGCTATAATTTCCGTGTCTGGTAAAAACTTGTTCTCTTGTAATTCTGATAATCACGAATTGTATTGATAGTATTGGGCTTATTTGTATACATACACCTGTAGAGTCATTTTCGTCAGATCTTTTTTTTTTAAATACTGCCTCATATTATTTATTTTATATTACTAGCTGACACGACGAACGTTGTGCGTTGTGCCGCGTAAACATCATTTCTAGTTGATATTTTTCCTGTCGAATATCCATCAACACACTCTCATTATCTCATTTTCTATTTTTTTTTTAGTTAGGCAATTCAAAAAAGTACGTTTCCTCAATATTTCAAACTACTATTTCATCATGAAGTTAGTTCGCCATATTGGAACCGCTATCTTGAATTCTCAAATTCTGAACTTCTCAATTCTGACAAGAGAAACCGAAATCTCCGGCTCCAAAAACCCTCAGATAGCAATTCCAAATATAATCGATGCAAAAATACAAAACTTGTCCGCTATTTTGGATCCGCCATCTTGATTGAACTCACGACCGATTCTCAAACCTACCAGAACTATGCCTGGCATGAGAATTTCATGATATTATGTTGGATCTGCCACCTTCAATCACCCAATTCTAACGAGCAAATCATAATTCATGACCCGAAATACCCTCAGGAACAAATTTTGAATGACGTCGAATCATAATTAGAGGACTTGTTCGCCACACTGAGGGAAAAAATTCGTAGCCATTAC